AAAAAAAAAAAAAAAAAAAAAAAAAAAAGGCCGGGCACAGGGGCTCACACCTGCAATCCTAGCACTTTGGGAGGCCAAGGCGGATGGATCATGAGGTCAAGAGATTGAGACCATGCTGACCATCCTGACCAATATGGTGAAAACCTGTCTTTACTAAAAATACAAAAAATTAGCTGGGTGTGGTCGCACACACCTGCAGTCCCAGCTATTTGGGAGGCTGAGGCGGAAGAATTGCTTGAACCTGGGAGGTGGAGGCTGCACTGAGCCGAGATCAAGCCACTGCACTCCAGCCTGGTGACAGAGTGAGACTCTGCCTAAAAAGTAAAAAAAATGCTGTGTACCCATATTCATAAGATCATTATTCACAACAGGCAAAAACTGGAGGCTGCCCAAATGTCCATGTGTATAGATGAATGAATAAACAAAATGTGATCCATGTTATTCAACCTTTTAGCATGACATCTGCTGTTGGAAGAAGAAAAAATGTGGTCCATCCATACAATGGAATAGCATTCAGCCTTAAAAAGGAAAGAAAAAAATTTGAGATAGTCTCGCTCTGTCACCCAGGTTGGAGTGCAGTGACATGCCCACAGCTCACTGGAGTCTCCACCTCCCAGGTTCAAAAGATCCTCCTGCCTCAGCCTCCAAAGTAGGTGGAACTACAGGCATGCACCACCATGCCTGGCTAAATTTTGTATTTTTTGTAGGGACAGGGTTTCACAATGTTGCCCAGGCTAGGAAAGAAATTCTGACACGTGCTGCAACATAGATGAAACTTTAGGATATGCTGGACATGGTGTCTCACACCGGTAATCCCAGCGCTTTTCGAGGCCAAGGCAGGCAGATCACTTGAGGTCAGGAGTTTGAGACCAGCCTGGCCAACATGGTGAAACCCTGTCTCTACTAAAAATACAAAAATTCGCCAGGTGTGGCGGCAGGTGCCTGTAATCCCAGCTACTGGGGAGGCTGAGGCACAAGAATTGCTTGAACCCGGGAGGAGGAGGTTGCAGTGAGCCAAGATCGAGCCACTGCACTCCAGCCTGGGCGACAGAGTGAGACTCAGTCTCAAAAAGGAAAAAGAAGAAGTTTTAGGATATTATGGTAACTAAACTAAGTCAGCCCCAGGTGCAGTGGCTTACACCTATAATCCCAACACTTTAGGAGACAGAGGCTAGAGGATTGCTTGACCTCAGGAGTTCGAGACCAGCCTGGGTAACATAATGAGATCCTGTCTCTACTGAAAATAAAAAAAATAAAAATTAGGCCAGGCGCAGGTGGCTCCTGCCTGTAGTCCCAGCTACTTTGGAGGCTGAGGCAGGAGAATTGCTTGAGCCCCGGAGGCGGAGGTTGCAGTAAGCTGAGATCCCGCCACTGTACTCTAGCCTGGGCAATAAAGAAAGACTCTGTCTCAAAAAAAAAAAAAAAAAATTGCCAGGTGAGTACCTGTAGTTTCAGCTACTCGAGAGGCTGAAGTGGGAGGATCACTTGAGTCCAGGAGGTCAATTCTGCAGCGAGTTATGATCATGCCATTGCACTTCGGCCTGGGGAACAGAGCAAGACCCTGTCTCAAAACAAAAAATAAGCCAGTTACAAAAGGACAAGTACGTATAATTCCACTTATATGAGGTACCTAGAGTAGTCCAAATTCATAGAAACAGAAAGTAGAATAGTGGCTGCCAAGGACTGGGCGGGCGGAAGGGAAACCAGGGAGTGAGTGTTTCATGGGTACAGACTTACAGGTTTCCAAGATGAAAACATTCTCAGGTCAGGCACTGTGGCTCATACCTGTAATCTCAACACTTTGGGAGGCCAAGGCAGGAAGATAACTTGAGCCCTGAAACTCAAGGCCACCCTGGGCAACATATTGAGACTTTATCACTACAAAGAATACAAAAATCAGCCAGGCTTGATGGTGAGTGCCTGCAGTTCCAGCTACTCAGGAGGCTGAGGTGGGAGGATCACTTGAGGCCAGGAGGTTGAGGCTGCACTGACCATGCCAGTGTATTCCAGCCTGGGTGATAGAGTGGGATCTTGTCAAGAGGGAAGGGGTGGGGGGAGAAGGGGAGAGTAGAGAAGGGAAGGGGAAGGGGAGGGGGCAGAAGAGGGGGAGGGAGAGCCCAGCAGTTGAAGATCAGCCTGGATAACATAGAGAAACCCTGTCTCTACAAAAAAATTTAAAATTTAGGGCCGGGCGCGGTGGCTCAAGCCTGTAATCCCAGCACTTTGGGAGGCCGAGGCGGGTGGATCACGAGGTCAAGAGATCGAGACCATCCTGGTCAACATGGTGAAACTCCGTCTCTACTAAAAATACAAAAAATTAGCTTGGAATTGTGGGTTCATTCCTTTAGTCTACCTACTTGAAAGACTGAGGTGGGAGGATCACTTGAGCCCAGGAATTCAAGACTACAGTGAGCTATGATCAAGCCAGTGCACTCTAGCCTGGGCAACAGAGCAAGACCCTGTGTCAAAAAAAAAAAATTAATTTAATTTAAAAAGCAACCATATAAGTCCTGCTTCCTTTGTTGCACATTATGCTTATAAGAATCATCCATCTTGCTGTGAGCAGATGTAATATCTGCTTTCATTCCTGTGTAGTAGTCCATTGGCTGAAACAGCATAATTTAGGTGTCCATTCTACTTGAGACGGACATTGGGTGTGAGCTAGTTCCAGCTTGGGAATGACATACATACGTGATGTTCCTATGAACATTCATGTCTTGAGAAAAATTACAATTCTTTTTTTCGGGGGCAGAGAAGGTGTGCATATGTGTGATTAAAAACAACAACAGGAGGCCGGGCGCGGTGGCTCAAGCCTGTAATCCCAGCACTTTGGGAAGCCGAGGCGGGTGGATCACGAGGTCAAGAGATCGAGACCATCCTGGTCAACATGGTGAAACTCCGTCTCTACTAAAAATACAAAAAATTAGCTGGGCATGGTGGTGCGTGCCTGTAATCCCAGCTACTCAGGAGGCTGAGGCAGGAGAATTGCCTGAACCCAGGAGGCGGAGGTTGCGGTGAGCCAAGGTCACGCCATTGCACTCCAGCCTGGGTAACATGAGTGAAACTCTGTCTCAAAAAAAAAAACAACAACAGGCCAGGTGCAGTGGCTCACGCCTGTAATCTTAGCACTTTGGGAGGCCGAGGTGGGTGGATCACCTGAGGTCAGGAGTTCAAGACCAGCCTGGCCATCACGGTGAAACCCCATCTTTAAAAAAAAAAAAAAAAATTTGGCTGGATGGTGGCTCACACCTGTAATCCCAGCACTTTGGGAGGCCGAGGTGGGCGGATCACTTAAGATCAGGAGTTTGATGCCAGTCTGGCCAACATGGTAAAACGCCATCTCTACTAAAATGCAAAAATTAGCCAGACGTGGTGGCTAGAGCTTGTGGTCCCAGCTACTCAGAAGGCAGAAGCTCGAAAATCCCTTGAACCCGGGAGGTGGAGGTTGCAGTGAGCAGGGATCGCGCCACTGTGCTCTAGCCTGGGAGACAGAGCGAGGCTCTGACTCAAAAACAAAACACAAATTCTTTTTCTTTATTGTGTATATTTTACAATATGAAACATACTATATTCTACATTATAAGCAATATCTCCCACTCCTCCACCCCCAGCCCCTGGTAAATCTACTTTCTGTCTCTAGGACTTTGACTACTCTAGTTACCTCATATAACTGAATACAATTTTTATCCTTTTGTGACTGCCTTATTTCACTTAGCCTAATGTCCTCAAGGTTCATCCATGTCACAGCAAGTGACAGAATTTTATTTTTTTTTCTCCCAGGCTGGAGAGCAGTGGGACAACCTCGCCTCCCAGTTTCAAGCGATTCTCCTGCCTCAGCCTCCCCAGTAGCTAGAATTATAGGCGTGCGCTACCACGTCCGGCTACTTTTTGTATTTTTAGTAGAGACAGGATTTCACCATGTTGGCCAGGCTGGTCTCAAACTCTAACCTCAGGTGATGCCTGCCTTGGCCTCCCAGAGTGCTGGGATTACAGCAGTGAACCACCGCGCCCGGCCACATTTAAATTTCAAAAAGTAATAAATGCTAGTTTAAATGCATAAAAGTAAAATTTAAAACATTCCTTTTTACCCAAAGAACACTGAACGCTTAAAAACACATTTTTTTGAAGTGTCAGTGTGCAGAGGAAAAAAAGTAAAAATTAAAAATGACTTTAATAAGTAACTGTTTGACTAAAACTTAAAGCTATACTTGGAAATGTATAAAAACTGTACTAACTCCTCCGCCTCACCAGCTCGAACTGAGGCAGCAGGGACGTCCCTCGTCCTGCCCTGGCCCCCACCGGGCCTCGCGCTCAGGCAGCGCCTTGAACAGCCCGGCCGGCGTGCGAGGACCCCGCACGGCCAAAATGGCGGCGTCCGTGCGACAGGCACGTAGCCTGCTGGGGCTGGCGGCGACCCTGGGCCCGGGTTCCCGTGGCTACCGGGCGCCCCCGCCCCCGCGCCGCAGGCCAGGACCCCGGTGGCCAGACCCCGAGGACCTCCTGACCCCGCGATGGCAGCTGAGGCCGCGCTACGCAGCTAAGCAGTTCGCGCGTTACGGCGCTGCCTCCGGGGTGGACCCCGGTTCGCTATGGCCGTCGCCGGAGCAGCTGCAGGAGCTGGAGGCCGAGGAGCGCGAATGGTACCCAAGCTTGGCGACCATGCAGGAGTCGCTGCGGGTGAAGCAGCTGGCCGAAGATCAGAAGCGTCAGGAGAGGTGCGTGCGTGCAGGAAGACGCGGGGCTGCCCTGTGTGTCCCGTGGGCGAACTGGGCCCCAAACCGTGCCTACCCCATAGGTGGCACCTTGCAGCATCTACATGTTGTAGATTTATGTATACGCTCACCTGGCCGCAAAACAAACTCAGTAACAGTCCATTTAGTCTTTCATCAGTAAGTGTTTTTTTTTTTGAGTCGGAGTTTCGCTCTTGTTACCCAGGCTGGAGTGCAATGGCGCAATCTCGGCTCACCGCAACCTCGGCTCACCGCAACCTCCGCCTCCTGGGTTCAGGCAATTCTCCTGCCTCAGCCTCCTGAGTCGCTGGGATTACAGGCACGCGCCACCATGCCCAGCTAATTTTTTGTATTTTTAGTAGAGACGGGGTTTCACCATGTTGACCAGGATGGTCTCGATCTCTTGACCTCGTGATCCACCCGCCTCCCAAAGTGCTGGGATTACAGGCGTGAGCCACCGCGCCCGGCCTTTTTTTTTTTTTTTTTTTTTTTTTTTTTAAGAAGAGTCTTATTCTGTTGCCCAGGCTGGAGTGCAGTGGCGCGACCTCCGCCTCCAGGGTTGAAGCGATCCTCCTGCCACAGCCTCCCGAATAGCTGGGATTACAGGCGTGAGCCACTGCGACCGGCCATCATCAGCAAGAATTTACTGAGCGCATACCGTGTGCAAGAACCCATCCCAGGCTGGACGCGGTGGCTCACGCCCGTAATCCCGGCATTTTGGGAGGCCGAGGCAGGCCCCAAAGGGCCCCTGAGGCCAGGAGTTCGAGACCAGCTTGACTAACATGACGAAACCCTGTCTCTGTTAGATACAAAAATTAGCCGGGCGTGGTGGCGCACGCCTGTGATCCCAGCTACTCGGGAGGCTAAGGCAGGAGAATAGCTTGAACCCTGGAGGCAGAAGTTGCAGTGAGCTGAGATTGGGCCACTGCACTCCAGCCTGGGCAAGAGAGGAAAACTCCGTCTCAAAACAAACAAAACAAAACAAAACAAAATCCTGTCCCAGCAGGAAACAGGCAAGATAATATCAGATGGCCACAGTGGACTGCCTATTAGGAAGGTAAAAGAGTGAAGAGTGCGTGCCTGAGGGCAGCTTTGGTTCAGTACTCTCTGAGATGATGATGTTGAAACAAAGACCTGAATAACCAGACTTAGCCATGGGGAGATTTCTTGGGTAAAGAGTTCCTGGTAGACGGAACAGCTGAGACAAATGCCCTGAGATAGGATATGCTTTAAAGAAGAGCCAAGTGGCCAGTGTGGCTGGTGAAAAGTGAGGGCAAGAAGGTGATAGGTCCTGGAACCAAGGGCAGAGGTCAGGTACGGAGGCAAGTCTGAAGGACCACAGCCATTTTTTTTTTTTTTTTTTTGAGGTGGAGTTTCGCTCTGGTTCCCCAGGCTGGAGTGCCATGGGGAGATCTTGGCTCACTGCAACCTCTGCCTCCTGGGTTCAAGCAATTCTCCTGCCTCAGCCTCTTGAGTAGCTGGGATTAAGAGGCGGACACCACCATACCTGGCTAATTTTTTGTATTTTTAGTACAGACAGGGTTTCGCCATACTGGCCAGCCTGGTCTCAAACTCCTGACCTCAGGTGATCCACCTGCCTCAGCCTCCCAAAGTGCTGGGATTACAGGCGTGAGCCACTGCGCCTGGCTGAACCAGGGGTATCTGTTACAGATAATGCCACATCCTGGATGGCAGAGGGGGTAGGTCAAGTGTGTTCCCGGTATTTACCCTTCTGGTTTTCCCAATAGCCTTATGAGGAAGAAGGGACTGCCTTAATTTTAGAGATGAGGAAGCTGAGGCTTGGCAAAGTGAAGTCATGTGTCTGATCACCCAGTCAGGGAATGTTGGAGCAGGGACTCCTGTTTCTGCCCTTCCTCAGCCAGATGACCCTGTTATAGGGCGGCTTAATTCTTCACTTTCTAATCCGTAAATGAGGCTGTCATAAAAAAGAACGAGATCATGTCCTTTGAAGGGACAAGAAGGGAGATGGAGGTTATCATCCTTAGCAAACTAACACAGGAACAGAAAACCAAATACAACATATTCTCACTTCTAAGTGGGAGCTAAATGATCAGAACACATGGACACACAGAGGGGAACAACACACATTGGGGCCTTTTGGAGGGTGGAGGGAAAGGATCAGGAAAGATAACTACTGGGTACTAGGTTTAATATCTAGGTGATGAAATAAATCTGTACAAAAAGTTAAAGAAAAAAAATGGGGCTGTGACTGGTAGCTACAAACTCAGGTATTGGTGGGAAATGTCTTTCTTGCTTTCACTCCTATGCCTAGAATTGGGCTTGGCCTACAGTAGGTACTCAGCAATGTCTGGAATAAACGTGTGAAATTGTCCATGGGAGTGGCACTTGGTGGCTCAGTACGCAGCTCAGTGAAATGTTGATTTGGCTTTGGCACATGGGGTTTACTGGGGCTTGACACACTCTTGTGATCAAATTCATGCACAAATAACTCTCTCTTCATCTCTTCCTGTTTCTTCACTTGTCAAGGGCTTCTCCTGACAGTTAACCTACTGGGGGAGTTGAAGCTAGTGCGCAAAGGCCCATGGGTGGGATATGGGTGGGTGAGCTCTGCCCTGGCTGAGTGCCAGTGTCACGGCCCACTCTCCCTGCCCTGCAGGGAGCAGCACATCGCAGAGTGCATGGCCAAGATGCCAAAGATGATTGAGAAATGGCGGCAGCAGCAGCGGGAGCGCAGGGAGAAGGCAGAGGCTGACAAGGAGAGGAGGGCCCGACTGCAGGCTGAGGCCCAGGAGCGCCTGGGCTACCAAGTGGACCCAAGGAGCGCCCGCTTCCAGGAGCTGCTCCAGGACCTAGAGAAGAAGGAGCGCAAGCGTCTCAAGGAGGAAAAACAAAGACAGAAGAAGGAGGCGCGAGCTGCTGCAATGGCTGCAACAGCAGCCCAGGACCCAGCAGCCTCTGAGGCACCCAGCTCCTGAGCCTTTGTCCTTTCCCAATAAAAGCCTGCTCCCTGGCAGTCCCCCTGAAGAGATCTGTGTCCTCTCAAGGTGTGCCTCTCTGGGTCCCTGGTTCCTCCCGAAACACCTAGGGCTGGGCTGGGGAATCCCCCACTTGGCTCTACTCCAAAGGGGGACAGGGACTGTAGGCCCTGCTAACTGAGGCTTCAGGACGAGGAAAAGGGGGGGCGCAATGGGCAAATAATAGAGAAGCAGATGGCAGAAGAGAAGAAGGCTTCTGTTTACCAACATTCATCTCCAGTAATTAGCCAATTATGGGGGAGGGGGGAGGGGGGAAGTATAGCCAAAACAGACTGTGGTGATGATGGTGGGGGCCAGGGAGAAGCAGTCCTTGTAAGGCTGGGCTGGGGTCCACTGCCTGGAAATGACACACTGGGGGAGGAGACACTGGGAGCCCCAATCTGCAAGGACTCACAGACTCCTCTCCCCCTTCCCGGCACCCATCACCACGCCTGCCTGTGCCCAGACAGCCCCCAGACTCAGACAGGCGGGCGTGAGGAGCCCCAGCAGGCACGGACCATAGGGCTGTTTTTTTAAACTTTATTCACTTCAAAACCTTTATTAGAGACACGGTTCTGTTCTGGGGTGGGGGTAGCCTTAACACTGAGCTGTTAGCCCTTCTCTAGGCTGGAGGCCAAGGCCAGACTGGGGAGGGGGCCTTGAACCTTTCAGGGCTCTCCCCAGATGGAAAGATTTGGGCTGCTCCAATGGAGGATCAAATTTTGGGGCTCCAGCTTCCCCTCATCCTAGAAGAGGATGGGGTGGGGGGTCCTCAGGGATTCATCGGAAGATGGAGAAGCAAGCAGCCGCCTTTCCATCTGGCTGCAGGGAGCTGGGACAGAGGCCAAGAGGGGCCCATCTGTTGCCTCCCAGTCCTGCCAGCTTCTCTGAGCAGGCTGGGCTGGGGAGGAGGATGGGGGGACAGCTGTCTCTGGCCTGGGTCTTCTCAGAGCAAGATGGGAACAGGGGCCACTTTAGGAGGACAGGAAGCTGGGCTTTTTGTTCATTGGTTTTTTTTGTTTTTTTTTTTTTTGTTTTTTAAAGGTTTTTGATTTTTTTTTTCCCACTTCTTAAATAAACATGAATATATATATATATTTTTTTTCTTTTATAAAACTTTCATGGAGTAGGGGTAGGGTGGGGGTTTGGGTGGCCTGGCCTCCTGGCATCACTCGTCATCAAAGTTCTGACTCAAGAGGAAGTTGGCAGCCAAGTTCTCGTTTTTTTCACACGCGAAATAGGCCTGGATAACCAGGCTCTCTGGGAACCCCAGGGCCTTCAACTGTGGGAAGATGGGTACGTGTGAGCAGTAGAGGGTAGGGGTTCTGCCCACCTGCAATTCCCCCACATCCAGACCTCTTACCCTCTCTATAGCTTCTTTCTCCTGCGGTGTCACCTGGATGTAGTTCATCTGCGGGGCCTCCTCTCCTATGGCACCCACCTCCGCCTCCACATCTGAGATGTCTGCCAGCTCCCCAGGGGGTTCGTTCAGCATCTGGATGAACTGCTCCTGGTGCCGGCTAATTTGCTGCAGGAGAGGGTGGGGAAGGCAGGGTAATTCACAGCCTTTGTCCCCTCCTCTCCCCAGGTCTTCACAGCCCTTGCTTTTTCATTCAGTCAGGCATATCTCCAGAGGAGCCTATTCTGGCCAAACACAGCAGACAACACAAGCCCTGCTCTGGTGGAACTGATGATGGGCTTTAAGTGAGCCAAGAAATGGACCAGGCATGGTGACTCTTGCCTATAATCCTAGCACTTTGGGAGGCAGAGGCAGGTGGATCACTTGAGATCAGGAGTTCGAGACCAGCCTGGCCAACATGGTAAACCCCCATCTCTACTAAAAAGAGAAAAAGCAGTCAGGTGTGGTGGCAGGTGTAATCCCAGCTACTCAGAAGGCTCAGGCATGAGACTGAACGCAAGAGGCGAAGATTGCAGTAAGCCACTACACTCCAGCCTGGACAACAGAGCAAGACCATCTTGAATAAATAAATAAAGAAATAGGCCAGGCACAATGGCTCATGCCTGTAATCCAAGCACTTTGGGAGGCCCAGGCAGGCGGATCACTTGAGGCCAGGAGTTCGAGACCAGCCTGGCCAACATGGCAAAACCCCATCTCTACTAAAAATACAAAAATTAGCTGGGTGTGATGGTAAGTGCCTGTAATCCCAGCTATTCAGAAGGCTAAGGTAGGAGAATCCCTTGAACCCAGGAGGCAGAGGTTGCAGGGTGCTGAGACTGTACCACCACACTCCAGCCTGGGTGACAGACTCTCAAAAATATAAATAAATAAATAAGCCAATAAATGAACCAGACAACTACAAGTGTCTGGCTAGAAAGGAACTGCAGATGAGGGCTGGAGGAGAGGTCTGCAGTATGGGGGATGCAGAGGGTTTCCTCCAGGTAAAGCAAACAGCAAGTGCAAAGGCCCAGGGCGCATGCATCTGGGAAATCTCAGAAGCAAGAACAGAGTGAACATGGAAGGGAAGACGGAGGAGGCAGAGAGTAAGACCAGAGAGGAAGGCCCAAGTCAGACTCATTTTCTAGAGCAGTGGGAAGCCACAGTGGTGACAGTTATTCAGGAAAAGATGTGGTCTGAATCTTTTAGAAAGGTGAATTTGGCCAGGTGTGGTGGCTCATGCCTGTAACCCCAACAACTCGGGAGGAAAGGCAGGAGGGACTGCTTGGGCCCAGGAGTTCAAGACCAGCCTGGGCAATATAAACCCTGTCTCTATTCCCCCACTCCACTCCCCCAAACCAAAAAATGTGAACTCATCTGGGTGTTGGGTTTGGGTATATGGAGGTTCATTTGTTCATTTTCGTTTCCGTTCTTTTTAAGATAGAGTCTCACTCTGTCACCCTGGCTGGAGTGCAGTGGGACAATCTCGGTTCACTACAATTTCTGTCTTCTGGGTTCAAGCAATTCTCGTGCCTCAGTCTCCCAAAAAGCTGGGACTACAGTGGCCCACCACCATGCTCAGCTACTTTTTGTAGTTTTAGTAGAGATGGGGTTTTGCCATGTTGGCCAGGCTGGTCTCAAATTCCTGACCTCAATTGGTCCACCCACTGGTCTCCCAAAGTGCTGGGATTAGAGGTGTGGGCCGCTGTGCCCGGCCTGGGTATCTGGAAGCTCTGATACAACTCTCTCTACTCTTGTCTACATCTGACCATTTTCACATTAAAGAAGGTGTTTTTCAGTCAATGGACTGTGGTACTGTGCAGTCGCAGAGTAGAAGGCTGCCAGGGAGCTGGAGTGCAGGGAGGGGCTGGATGGGGAGAAGAGACAGGACAGGGGAGGGACCCCAGCTGGCCCCCCAAGGCCTGAGGCTGAAGCAACCCCAGGCTGGTCCTTGCAGAGATGGGGGAGAACTGGGGAAGTCTGTTCAAAGTCTTAGAAGTCTAGTCTAAGGCCGGGTACTGTGGCTCACGCCCGGAATCCCAGCACTTTAGGAGGTGGAGGCGGGTGGATCACAAGGTCAAGAGATCGAGATCATCCTGGCCAACATGATGAAACCCTGTCTCTACTTAAAAAACTACAAAAAAAATTAGCTGGGCGTGGTGGCATGTGCCTGTAGTCCCAGCTACTCGGGAGGCTGAGGCAGGAGAATTGCTTGAACCCGGGAGGCGGAGGTTGCAGTGAGCCAAGGTCGCACCACTGCACTCCAGCCTGGCGCTTGGTGACGGAGTGAGACTCGGTCTCAAAAAAAATTAAAATACAAGAAGTCTAGTCTAGAGAGCACTTTGGGCTGGGCACGGTGGCTCACGCCTGTAATCCCAGCACTTTGGGAGGCTGAGGCGGGCAGATCATGAGGTCAGGAGATGAAGACCATCCTGACCAACATGGGGAAACCTTGTCTCTACTAAAATACAAAAAAATTAGCCAGGTGTGGTAGCGCACAACTGTAGTCCCAGCTGCTCAGGAGGCTGAGGCAAGGGAATCGCTTGAATGGGGTGGCAGAGGATGCCACGAGCCAAGATGGTGCCACTGCAACAGAGCAAGACTCCGTCTCAAAAAAAAAAAAAAAAAAAAAAAAAAAAATTTTAAAAAAGCACTTTGATGGACAGATTAAGCCAGCCATGGAGTATGGCATTCAGAGAGGCTTGGGCTAGTTACATAGATTTGGGGGTCCTCGGGCCAGGTGTGGTGGCTCACGCCCGTAATCCAAGCACTTTGGAGGCCAAGGCGGGCGGATCACCTGAGGTTGGGAGTTCAAGACCAGCCAGACCAACATGGTGAAACCCCGTCTTTATAAAAAAAAAAAATATATATATATATATAAAAAGATTTGGGGGTCCCCATAGAGACTGAAGGCCCCAGGACACTATGAGGGAGGACTGAGTGCCAATGAAGATCAGGACTGGGCAGGAGAAGCTGGCAAGGCACTAAGAAATGAGAGGAGAAGGGGCAGACGGCAGGGTCCTGAGTCAAGACAGGTGGGTACTTCACAGAGGACCCAGAGGAACCTGCTTGCACCCAGATGCCCACCCCCCTACTCTTCCTGTGAACATTCAAAGGCCAGGGTAGAGCCTCACCAAGCACAGCGGTCCCAGAGCCAACTGGGACACAGCTGTCCTGGGTGATGTCATGCCACCTTACAGACATTTACGTAGTGCCATCTGTATGTGGAGCCAGAGCCAGAGCCAGAGCCCCAGCCCAGGACCCTGAGGCAGCAGGCAGACACACACTCTACCAGCTGTGTGGCCCTGGGAATCACAGGCTGCTCAAAGCTTCTAGTGTCTTCTGCAAGAGGTGATGTTGACTGCACCCACACCTCACAAGGTAGTTGGGAAGACTGAGAAACCGTGGGGGTCAACAGGTCACAGGAAGCATGGGGATGTGGGGAAGAATGTGCTTGGTCCTGCTTTCCAGGATTAGAACGACTCCTATATGTTATGGACTCCGGTGCCCGCAGGGAAGGGAAACGGTGGCTGCCCTGGCTCCCTCTGCCCTCCTCCGCCCCTGGGACCACACCTGCAAAAGCTGAGGGTTCTCCTGGCCCAGCTGTTGCAGCAGAGCAGGCAGCAGTGCAGGGTTCTGCTGAATCACCTGCCGCATGTTCTGGAACTGGGGCTGGTCCCGCAGGAACTCCAGGGGGTTCTCTCCTGCTGGTAGTAGGAAGGGGTACAGTCAGACACCGCACTGGGCTCCCAGGAGCACTGCAGGGTGGAGTGTGGTGTCAGTCAGGTACCTGGAGGGCAGATGCCGCAC